AAGTGAGTGCACAATACAATATACAGTTGATGTATTATAGAACTGTACACCTGACACCTACATAATTTTACTAACCAATATCACCTCAATAAAGTCAATAAAGAGAATATTAAAAGAAGATAAAAAGTGTTATGGGATTATACAAGATAAAGCAATTTACTACTAATTAATACATTTGGTATTTATTGAAAAAATTTTGTACACACATCTTTTGAATTTACTTAATGCAAATTTTGTATATTTATTATTTTTATAAAAATAGTATATGTTTATATACTATTATGAAGCATAAGAGATAAAAGGAAAATCAGTTTCAGTAATATATGTGTGAGCATGTTTAATTTTGGATTTAGAATATAACTGGTGTACAAATAAAAGGAAATTTTAAAATTCTGTCTTCACAGTTATTACAGTTTGGGGTGATTCAGTAGACTTCTTACTGGCTCATTAGTGGTGCTTATGAAACAGGAGCAGTTGAAAGAGAAAGGAACAGCTGTTTGGAAATGCGCAAGGAGAAATTAGAGCAGAAATTCAGGTAAAATATGGGCACTTTGAAAATAATTGTAGTGACATCAAAGAGGTAAAATTTAAACATTATTTAAAATTACCTTGCAAACTGCTTTAAAACTCGAGGATCCTCAGGCAATAATGAGTTTATGCATCATCTCCAAAAGTAATTGAAATGTGAACTCTATGCAAGTTACTCATTAAAAACTCTACCCCATTGCTGAGTAAGAAAATAACTCCTCTTCAAGAGTCAGCATTTTAAAAATACTAGGAGAGAGTCACTAAGGCCATCAGTATTTTGATTCATGAGTTAAAGAATGTCTTGCATGATGGGGCACTTGTCTAATTTGGCTGCTACATTACTTGTGGAAGAAAGACAAATGAGATGATAAAGATTCTTTTTAAAAAAAAGTTCAGGGTAGTGATATTTATTTGCATATTTGTCATATAAAATAAAGTGCTTTAAATATTGTAATTGTATTCAAATATGATTTCAAAATAAATTTTCAACTTTACTATCTTGTGTTATTTGAACTTTTTTAAAAAAATCCAACCCAGACTCCACATTTCTGGAATTTAATTCTACTATTTCAGACTCTAAATTTTTCAAAACTATTTCTTTTCTGAACTTAGATCATCCTCATTCTCCTATGGCAGAGTGCAACTTTACATGACATGAAACCAAAAAAAGTAATCAGGTTGACTTTGCTTTGTGACATTTGGATTTAAAAAAATGTTATTACAAAATGTTTTAACCTTTAATGAAGCAGTAAGATTTATATAGTTGTTGAGACAAATGTATGTCAGTAAAAGTAAAATATGGAAAACTGTATTCAAACATAATTTATCTTCTACAAAATTCTGTTTGAGCATCCATTCATGTATATCTTCAAGTTAAGCATTTTAGATTATTTCTATGCAGATGCAGAATTACTTGCTTCTTCATTAAATTCTTGCTGGTGAAATGAGGTTGAGGATTCATGATAAGATTTGTGGCACAATCAGCAGACTGCTCCTGGGTTCCCAGAGTCCCATTTCCATCCATCCCATCATGAAAAAGTCCAATCTTGTCTTCATAAGCTCCATACAAAGGCCAAGGTCCAAAAGCTCTGCATCATGCTGAAACTTAGTTCGTATCTGTCCCCATTCGGCCAGTTTAGTCTGTTCCTGGATGCCACTGTGCAGAGACCTGTGCTTGGTTCACCTGGTCACGGGGCTGCTAAATGAAATTTTATAGACACAAATGATGCCAGAAAGAAACATGGAACATAAAAATTAATAAAGGTAAAAAGGAACATTATATAAAAGTTTTAACTTTCTTAAAAGACACACAGTCATAACTGTGCATGCCCTGAACAATAAAATTTCAAATTGTACAAGGGAAAAACTGACAGAACTGAAATGAGAAATAGACAAATCTATAATTATAAATGAACACTGTTATGCTCCTATTTCAGGATTAGATAGGAATAGTAGATTAAAACCAACCAAGAATATAGAAGTACAAAACAACACCATCAAACAAATTAATCTAGCCAGCACTTATGGAATACTTCACCATGCAACAGTAAAATATGCATTTTTATCAGGTGTACACCAAGCCTTCACCTATATAGGCTGTATCCTATGCATAAAACAAACTTTAAAAACTTTTTTAAAAATTTAAAATATACAGATTAAGTCCTCAGTTAATAGTGACATTAAATGAATAACTGAAAGATAATGAAAACATTGCTAGATATTTTGAACAAAAAAAATGTAACAAAAACCATACTTCTATATAACCTGTGGGTCAAAATGGAAAATCAAAAAATATTAGAAAATATTTTGAACTTAATGAGAACAAAGATAAAATATATATAAATTTTTAGATGCAGATGAAGACATTATTAGAGGAGAATTTATGCCATTAAACATTTACATTAGAAAAAAGAAATATCTCCTATTAATTTAAGCTTTCAAGTTAAGAAAAGTAAAAAAGTAAGAGACATTAAATCTACAATAATCAGAATATACAAAATAAAAATAAATACATGCTGAAACCAATTAAATTAAAAATTAGTACTAGAGAAAATCAGTGGCACCAGAATCTGGTTCTTTGGAAAGGTAAATAATATTGATAAACCTCAGAGAAATAAGGAAAAATGAGAGAAAACAAAGATGGTCAACATTAGGAACTGTGGTAGGAAGAATTCTGAGAAGGCCACTATTGTTCTCTCCCCTAGAGATGCATACATTATATAACTCACCCTCTCCCCCCGTTGTGAACATACCATGTGAATGTGATGGGATATCATGCTTCCGATTATATTGTTTTATAAAACAGAGATAATTTTACATATGTAAATAAAGGTACTAAACATCTGCTTTTCAATTAACTGAAAAGCAGCTTAACTAAAAGGGATCTAATCACACGAACCTGGGACCAAATGTCAGAAGAGAGAAACAAGTGAGAAGTTCACAATGTAAGAGAGGATATGACGGTGGGGAGCTCCATGGTAAAGGAATTTGGATAAGTGAGGGAGATCCAGGATCAACAATTTACAAGAGTCTAGGTGTCTTTTCTACCATAAAAAATAAATGAATTCTGCAAACAATTAATTGTCTGAGCAAAAAGACGACCCAAGAGTGGAATTTAGCATCACTAATATCTTGATATCAGTCTTGTGAGATCCTGGCTAGAGATCCCAGGTCAGTCATGCCTCGACTTCTGACCTACAAGAAATTGTGAAATAATAAATTTGCATTGCTTTAAACCATCATTTTGTGATATTACATATTATAGCAATAGAAAGTTATTAAAGGAATAAAAGTTTATACTGTGTATCATAATAAACACTATAGACTTTAAGGGAATAATAAGAAAAAAAACTCTACAAACATAAATTCAAACACTAAGAAAATGGACTGATTATTTTAAAACTATCAAAATTCATCCAAGATAAATAGATGAAAAAGGAAGGTAAAAGCTAATATATAATGACTAAGTGGGGTTAATTTTTGGAAGACAAAAATCTTATTATCGGAAAATTAGAAAAATCTGCCATGCTAATAGTTTAAATGAGCAGAAATAATCATAACATTAAATTATTCATAAAACACATTAAATTCAAGATAAAAACTCTTAACCAATCAGGAATAGAAAATAATACCTTTTTTAAAAAAGACCTAAACAAAGTCTATATCTAACACCATATTCAATAGGTAAAATCTAATGCTGTCTTCTATTCCTAGGCACAAAGTAAAAATTTTCTTTATGGTCACTCCTATTTAACATCATACTGGGAAGTCCTAACCATTTCAACAAGGTAATCTAAAGAAATAAAAGACACCTATACTCAAAAAGAAAACATAAAAGATTCCCTATTTGCAGAGAGAATGATTATCTCTGTAGACATTGCCAAGGAGTCTATAAAAAAATCCTCATATAATTAGTAAACTTACAAGTTTGCAGCATACTAAGTAAACAAACAAAAAGTTGTATTTATATAAGATAACAATTTATAAATGGAAATCTAGATTTAAGAAATGTCATTTTGAAAATCTCCCAAATTTTATCTATACATTTAATATAATATCAATTAAAACTGTGGCAGAATTATAGATTAATATGTACAATCTGATGGTAAAATTGATGTAAAAATGCAAAGCACTTAGAATAGTTAACAGAATTTTGAGGAAGAAGAAAAAAATAGGAAGAACACGATAAGTAACTTTAAGATATTATAAAGTCATTGTAGGTCAATAACTTGATCTTAGCAAAGAGATAAACACAAATCAAGAAAACAAGATAGAATATAAAATAGAACCCCGATAAGTGGAAAAATGAGATTTAGCAAAGGTGTGAAAGAAATTCAATGAGGAATGTATTTTTTTTCAGTAATTCAGGTTGAAACAATAAGTAGACATGCACATCCAAAGAAATATTGACTTATACCTCACAAATTAACTAAAAATGAACTATAAATCTAACTGAAAACATAAGCTTATACAAACTTTAGAAAAAAATACAGAAGAAACCTTAGCTGTTGGGCAAGAAATTTTTAAACCTATCATCAAAAGTAATGGTAAATTGCATTTGAGTTTTAAAAACAGATATGTGAAATAGGGAATGAAAATACCAACTGGAAAAATATTTGCAACTCACACATCTAATAAAGGAGTTAGATTTAGAATATATAAAGTACTCTCAGTTCTTGTTAATAATTTTGTTCAGAACATCTCTGTGAAGATTTTTTCACATGGGTGTAAGTTTTATTTCTCTAATGTAAATGCTCCAGAGTAAAACTCCTAGGTCATATGATGCGTATGTTTAACTTAATAAAAATTGCCTGTACATAAAACTGGAGAGCTCAAAATACGCTGTGAGTGAACACAGAAATGTAATACATCCATATAATCAAATACTACTGAATAAATCAGCAAATTATTGCTACATGAAACAACTTGCATAAATCTCAGTGACATACGCTAAATGAAAAAGGGCCCAAATCATACTTTCCTGTCAGGGGAGATACCATCATCAGGAAGTTGGTTTTCCCAGGGCAAAACTTATCAATTGCACCCCAGATGTGCGGACCCCTGTGATTTCCCCAAACATGGGAAACTCAACTGCATAATTTGTGGTAGTGGGGGACTGCATTCGTGCTCTCCCCAGGAAAAAAAAACGTGAATCAAAGGTTATATATTTTATGATTCCCTTTATACGATGTTTTGAAAAAGACACAATAGTGATAGAAAGTAGATCCTAGTTTTCCGAGTTTTAGAGATTGGGTTAAGGAGTGACTATAAAGGGAACATTGAGGATTTGTTGGTGTTATTTTTCTAAATTTTGATGTGATGGTGGTTAAAGAATATACAAGTGTTAAAATTCTAGATTTCTACATAAAAATAGATGTTTAGGTTAATAATAAAATAGAAAAAAAGAGAAAATATTACTGAATAAGGATTCAAAGGAAGAGGTTGTTTACTTTATGACTTGCTGTATTCAGCCTGGTGAGTATATAGACACATGTGAGTATACAGCTTTGATTAAATGGGGTTTAGGGTGAATAGAGATTTTTGTGTGAATCTTACTAATAGTGGGCTATCTAGCGACAAGATTAACAATCATATTTAAAATGTCAGTTTCATAATTGCTTTACAAAAATCACTTCACCAAAAGTGTTATTCTTTATTGGTTTTATTAAGGTAAAGTTTTAAGCGTATAATAGTCCAAAATTTGACTTTATTATTTCCTTTATATATTACAAGCTTTAAAAAGTAGTCAATAAATACAAATAAAAATGCCTATCATTGTGCTATATACTTTAAAGGAAGCAGGTTTTGGTTAAGGGATTGAGGAATCAGTCAGAAAATGAGAAAAAAAAACCCAATTACAATGTTGATGAATTTTTAAGTAACTTACTGTATTTTTTACAAGAAAAGAGTACTTAAACTTACAAAACAATTAATGATTTCAATAGCTCTCATGTTTAATGTATTCTCCATCAATTTTATACCATCAAATTTTGCCTAACTTTTATTGATTCATGCTATTACTTTAATTCAAGTTTTCTTATTTGAGCTAGTTTGATAATCTCATGGATACCTTGTCTCAATTATTTTCACCTCACAATGCAGTGAGAATCACTTTTTTAAATATATGTATTTGATGAATCTGATAAAATATATACATAACATGTAATTAATGTTCAAGATCTTTGGAGAAAAAAGTAATATATATTATTTTTAATATAAATATCATATGAATAAATCAAGAGGAATCCATACTAACATATCCAAACTGAATCACACTTAGAAAAAAAAATTCTTGAATTTTTTTTAAACAAAAAAAGAAAAAGAAAGTAAGAGAATGAGAAAAGGCAGGACAGAGAAAAATAATTTCAGGTACAAAATAAGTATCATACATCATGTTAGAACATTCTGTCTAATAAAAGGATAATGTCAAGCATGGTATTTTAAATTTTTTGTACCTACACTAAAGAAAAAGTTAAAAAATAAAATAAATTAATTTCAGTAATACATATAATGTTCATGTTAAATGTATAAAGATATCTATTTCAATAATGAATTTTAATTACCCCAATATATCCAGGATATTATTTTAACATGTAATCAATATAAAAATTATTTTACATTGTATTTTCTTGTACCAAGTCTTTTGGTACTAAGCATTTAATATTTACACATTTTAAGTTTTATACTAAATTTTTATCAAGAATAGTTGTGCTAAATTTCATCAAGAACCTATAATCTGTGTTTAGAGACCATACAGTTAGAATACAGTCACATATTCAGTTCTAAACATACTTAAATGTTTTCCACTAACTGAATCCAGTAATAATTTTAAATTTAGAAATCTAATTTTAGATATGTAACATTAAAAATTCAGTTCTTAGGTCACACTATATATATTGTACTTGTTCATTAGCTACATATGACCAGTGGCTGTCATTTTAGACAGCATAGCTCTAGTATACTATAAGTTTGTGTCATTTTTAGTAGGTTACTTTCCCCTTAGAAATGCCTTGGCATCTTATACATTTTACAGTGAAAATCTTTTGGTTCTACTAATGTTTTCTCTTTGAAATACAGATACTCCTCTACTTACCTTCAGAGTAAGTCCAGATAAATGCATCATAAGTTGAAAATATAGAAAATATAGTAATCTGAAAATGCATTCAGTACATCTAACCTACTGAACATCATACCTTGGCCTACCCTACCTTAAACAAACTCAGAACACTTACATTAGCTTACAGTTGGGCAAAATAATCTCAGTTCTTCTGCCTAGCATCATGACAGCATATTGTACTACATAACACTAGCCTGGAAGAAATTAAAATTCAAAATTTAAAGTATAGTTTCTACTGAATATACATGGCTTTGAACCACTGTAAAGTAAAAAAAAAAAAAAGGGAGGGTTGAGCCATCGTTAAGTCACGGACCACGTGTATTAATTTAAAGAAAAAAAAGTAACCAATGTTTATAATTTTAATTTTTCTGACTATATTTTCATAAAATTCTCTCCCTGCTGGTATTTGACAGTGTTTGCCCTGATGATCTGTGTCATACAGAATGTCCCTTTTGATACATTTGCTCTATTGGGATGTAACATGAAGTAATAAAATTATTTTCAGTTTGCTATAATTTAAATCAGTTAAAATATCTTTTCTCAATATATTAAAATGTGATAATTGCATAACAAAGAATCAGTAAACTGATATCACTTTCCACAAAAGACAGAGGTCATGACAAAATCTTCCTTGCATTTGAGCAAGCACAGGCATTATGAAGAGAAATTATCTCCAAAAGACAGCTTCATGGATAAACAGAAAGGTGAGCAATTTCTAAATTTAGATCTCTCCTACTTTGCATTTTGGTGTCTAATTCCACACTTTTGATATCCCAAGGACCTTCACTCTTATTATTTCTCCCAAGATCCCAAGAGCAACTTCCATGATGATTCATATAAATTAAAATTCTCTTAAATGGAGAGATTAGGAAATAAACTCTATGGAAAATAACTAATGAAAACAAGATTCCAAATTTTGGCCTACTTATGAACTTAATCACACACTTAAATGCATATATTTATCACTTTATGAGGACATAATTTAAAGTCATCAGTTGCCCAGTACATTTGGTAAACTTTGGTAAAATTAAAAGTAGGAAAATTTGTCATGTATTTCTCATAGAAACACAAAGAGAAATTTCATTTTAATTTGGGTATAGATTCTTCATATAATACTATTAACATCTTGGTTTGAATGATGCAGATTTTTGTTTCTGTTTTTGTTTGTTTTTGTGGGTAATTGCAACTTGAATGGTTTGAGGTCAGCAGTACTGCAGCTATCTAAATAACGCAAGATAAAAACTTATCTGAGAATGGAACTAAAAAATAGAAAGGGATGTCAAAACCATAAAACAAGAGACAAAGTCCACATTAGAGTGCTTGAACCTGAAAATATAATGAAGTCTGAACCCAATCAGTATTGAATTTTTCATTAATGTGATCCTATTCTCCCACCACCCAAATGGTGTTGCTGGGTTTTGTGTCACATACTATGAACAGAGTAAATAATACAACTTGCATGTTGTTAGTTTCTCCCTACACAAATATCATGACATTTTTATTTATGGTCTCTTTATACACTATGAAACAAATAAGTGGGTGAATAAAGTCATAACTTTAGAACTGGCTGAAGATCTAGGATTGGTAAAGTTTAGTACTCATTATATATTATTAGCTTCTCTTGCAAAGGCTTTGTAGGAGAAGTCTGGTATCTTAGAAGTATAAAATTCAAAACTGATTCTTTAACTAAGATTTGAGCCTTTCATGTGGCTATAGTAAAAAATTGTTTAGAATTTACCAGTTTTACCAGCAATGTAGTTAACATTGTTTTATATACTATTGCTACATAAAAAGAAACTAGTAAAGTAAAAAAGATTAAGGTTTTATGTAATATTTTATTGATTTTATTTATATGCCAATTTATTAACAATGGAAAAACTAGATTTTGTATATTTTATCATTATAGAAATGGCATACATATTTCCTTCCCACTCAGTTTTTATTTAAAATGACAACTTTTATATTATTCCTTTTAATAACAAGATTTTTAATGACTATGTGGCCTCAATCTATTCAACCTATTTTTTCTAACTATATTTCTTTCTTAGTAATGGCTTCAAACCAACTGAATTAATATCTTTTACATATTTCTGATTAACATATACACTAATTTTTAAAAATAAAATTTCATTGTATACATTTTTCAGTTTCTTGAAAGCAACATATATATTTTGTTAATTTTTTTCTTTAGTTTACTTAAGAATGGGAGTAATTACACAATTTGATATGATAGAATAAAAAATATATCTTAGCAAAATTATCAAGAAAATGGTATTTATTATATACTCTATTACTAAGACAGACACTGTTTTAGGTGTTTTTCTACTCTTCTGTTAATCCACATATCACTGAGTTTTACATTTTCTTTGAGCGACAATTTTCTGAATAGTGATACCAAATATATGTATATATATCTCAACCCCTACCTATAAAACTTGTGATGATACTTACTGGTTAATATCTATATCAAGTACAAATCAAATAATGTCTGATAACAAAAAAATTATTAATTATACACAATGAAATAATCACATAGTAGTGATGGGTGGGAAAAATTGGGAATTGAAAGAGTTTTTACTTCTTGTTGGCTATACACTTCCATTGTGAATTGGCTAGGGTGTTCTGATTATCTGTCACTAATATACCTGGGCTGATGGATAATACATTTCCAGGATCTCTGCCAATCTCTATGCCTGGGGAAAGGGACATCTAGGATCACATTTCTAACAAGAGCACATTGACTGTAATATTGTCAGTCACTCCCTTTCACCACCTGCTAGGAGTGGAAGAATATTTTTTGAGCAGCACATAAGAGCACTCCACCATTTGGGGTACATTTATAAGTACTGGTAACCTAAAATAAAAGAGTCAAACTTAAAAAAAGTGAATAAATTGGTAACAAGGTAACTGTTCCTAGCAACTTATGTGTTTTTTCTTATTAAATACGAAGCTATAATATGTAATATGTGCATATTATATTGTCATTGTGTTGCAAAATATTGTAGCTTAGTAGTTTTCTC